ATACTCTCTATACTCTCTATACTCTCTATACTCTCTATACTCTCTATACTCTCTATACTCTCTATACTCTCTATACTCTCTATACTCTCTATACTCTCTATACTCTCTATACTCTCTATACTCTCTATACTCTCTATACTCTCTATACTCTCTATACTCTCTATACTCTCTATACTCTCTATACTCTCTATACTCTCTATACTCTCTATACTCTCTATACTCTCTATACTCTCTATACTCTCTATACTCTCTATACTCTCTATACTCTCTATACTCTCTATACTCTCTATACTCTCTATACTCTCTATACTCTCTATACTCTCTATACTCTCTATACTCTCTATACACTCTACAAGGGTAAGGTGAAAAGTTTTTGCCTTGACAATGAAAGACCGCGATTTTCAGTTGAAAAATTACATTATTTTTCTTATTAAGGTAAAATCTTTAGTTCTAGACAGTTCTAAATGATTCTAGAACGGTCTAAATAATTCTGGAGCGTTCTAAATGGTTCTAGATATAGTTTAAAATCTACTAGACAGTTTTAAATAGGACTGGACATCAGCTCTAAATGTTTCTAGAGTTCTTTAAATGGTTCTAGACCGTTTTAAATGATTCCGGTGCATTTTGAATGGTTCTAAACAGTTCTAATTGGTTCTGGAGCGTTCTATAGATTGTTCTAGATAGTTCTAATTGATTCAGGCCAAGAACCTTTCACCATACCCTCGCATATACTCTCTATACTCCTTATACTGTATACAATCTTTGTAATCTTCTTTATTTCATCTTCTTATTCCACTATCTCACACCAATTAGCATTGGATTTGCCGTGTAAACGTTGTCGCGTATAAAAGTAGGGTGAACGGGGGCAATTAAATAGGGGCGAGAGGAGCGGGCAATGGGACGATTCGCTTATTTTGCGACGTTAGTTGATCGACTTCTAATGAACTTATGGTGTCCATAATCCTCGAGGGCGTCCTCCCGTACAACCGTAAAATTAGTTTCGCCCTCGAAGCGCCGAGGGGGATGACGAATTAAATTGCATTCAAAGCGGACCAAACGCCGATATAATGGGTTGACAATGGTGATGCGGTAGAGTCGAAGTGAAGTGGTTTGTTATAGGGTACTTATTTCGCATATTTTTTTTGGGAATTAATACAGAATTATGAATTATTTTTCGTAATTGTTGGTACCTAGCGATTCGCTTTTTGAAGCACTATAGAATTAGCTATAGCTGAGCTATAGAATAGTGAATTTTTCAGCAGTTATAGCTTCATGTATAGTCTTGATATATACCAAGTAGAATCATCCCTACTAAACTCAAAGGGGTTAAATGAGACAGTGTTCAATAAAGCAAATTTTTGTCCATCAAAAAATCCATGTTATAACTAATTCCAGAAGGCATTTAAAAGCTTCCTTTTTTGATCGGTTAATGCGCGTGTATATCCGTTAAAAATAAGCAATAGAGAAAATCCAGAAAAGTCTGGACGACAGTTGAGTTAATCAGTTGAGAAAAGCCGCCGATAGGGAACGTAATCGCTTGTCCACCATCGTTTACACTCTAATAATTCACTTCGCCCGAACAGGTTTTTCCAGACTTTCCGGACTTTTCCCGCGACGACGGCCACTCGTCATGATAACGCGATCGGTTTTGTCTCATCCCGTATATATCAATTAGCGAAAGTTTTGATTGGTCATCATCCGAAGAAGTGGGTCGATCGGGGGATGCTCGCAAAGAATGCCATCAGCGCCTAAATAAACAGGCCGAAGGAAAAAAATTAACAACACAATGCAATTAGGATAAAAACAAGCCCAATAACTATAAATCTGCTACCTAATCTTATCTAATGCGGAGTTTAGGTCTACAAATGATCGTCGGGATTGACCGGTGATTCAGGGTTGGTTTCAGAATATTTATATTTATTCAGAACATACAGGGTGTCAATTAAATGAGTGCCGATATTTTAGGATGTGAATATATGCATGATTTTAAGAAGAAAAGTTTATCAATATACATATGTCCTAAACCGGTTAGTTTCCGAGTTAAAGGGTGTTACAGTTATCATAATTTTTATGAAATTTTATACACTTTTTTGCGTAAAAAAATAAAAACCAAAACATATTTGGATGAGTAATAAGAAAATTATGATAGAAAAGTTTTTTTTTCTAAAACAGTAACCCCTGTAGCTCGAAAACTAAGAGGTACTTTTCTACATAAAATCATCCAAATATTCACATCCTGAAGTATCGGCACTCAATTAATTATCACCCTGTACAGGTTGCGAGAAATATTTTCGGGTGTTAATTTTTCTCAACTTTTTCAGCAAGCATATATGTATTACCCTGAAAAAGCTTTCCGGTATTAGAGAGATATAGAATTTTTTCTCAGTTTTTTTCTTACTATATTTGGAAAACTCTTTGAATTATTAAACAATATTTCGAGTTTACGGAAGTTTAAAGAACTCGTATTTTGGGCTATATGAAATAATTCAGAGCAATCATCAAGGGTTGTTTTTTGAAGTATATTTGTACAAAAAGAGGATAAAAATATCTCTATACAGGCTAACTTGTGTATAATGAAACACATTTTTTTTCATCATGAAGATAGGTACTAAAAAATCTTGTTATTTTTTACCATCAAGACCCCAATAAATCCCTCAACCGGACCTGCAGAAGAGACATAGCGCCTCGGTGGTCGATTTTTTTCGTCTAGACACTTCCGGTGCTGCCAGTAATCTAGCGTTTGTCTTCTAATTTTCGCTCCTTCCGTCCTTACTACACATTTCTGCAGGTATACCCGGGCGAATTTCATTCATAAAAACCCAGCGAAATTTACTACGAAAATTACAGGCTCGCCCGATTCCATTGATACTAATTCGCCGGCGCTGCATCGGGCAATATATTTATTATTGATATTAGAACTCGACGATTCGACAAAGGGACGGGCGTGCATACGCGCCCGCTTTTCTCGGGCGAGCAGACGTTTCGCACCCGCCCCAATCATCGGGGATCAATTAAGCTTGTGCATCCCCCGGGAGCGACCTTACCCGCTGCACAACTCTATTATATTAACCGTTCGACTTGGATATACTTTCACTCTGATATAATCAATTTTCGCGAATTTCGCTTCATTCGATTCCAATCGAGCTTTATGCGATATTGCTTTATTTTTAATTAAATAGTACGAGGGATAATACTTTTTTTTATACGTATACTATAAGCTTTTTTAAAAGGGTTATACTGGTAAATTCCTATGCGCTATAGCATATCGCTGGCAATAAATAAAAAAGATAGTAAAAACTGGCTGTATACATTAGAAGATAAAGTTTCCTCTTAATTGAAAGGGGGTCGTTTCGAATAGTATTTTGTTCCCCGGTTTTCGGTTATCTAAATCGTTAGTTTAGAATTGATTAAATCACTAAAAACGTCTGCCGTTTGTATTTTTTTTCATTTTAATTTCAATTTTCGACGGAAAACCGGCGACGGTCGTTTGTCTTTCGATAAAAACACAGCCTAAATAATTAGTTTGTTTCGAAGGATAACAGGTGAATCCGTCTACAAAAGAGAGGTTAAAATCGAAGAGTATCGGGAGTGAAAATCCTGTTTGAACTTTGTTTGCTTTCTAACCCTTGCGAAAACAAGCGTATCACATACGACAATAAAACAACCCCTGTTTGTTTTCGCACGAATATCCGATTGCAGAAAGACAAATCGAGCATTATGCACCCTTCGTTGGGAACCGACGAGTTAATAATACACCCCCTGCAATCAATTCAATTTGAATTTAATAAAAATCAGAAAACAATTTGCGTTAAAAATTTAGTACGGGTGTTTCCCCAATGACCACCCTATACAGGGTGGCTCAATAAACTGTAGATGCGTTGAGTAATTCCTTTGTATTCGAGCATATCTTTTAAAGTGTATAGGAAAGCTATTGTCGTGTCGTTTGATAAATGCAATATTAATGATTGACTTTTCTGTGTTTCGCAACATGTTATGTATACGATTCCCTACTCTGTCATATTAGATTAATAGAAAACAAGATAATTACAAGTAAACGACCGGATCGAAAATGTAAATTATAGGTTATGTTAGGCGTCCGACGGCGGGGTATATTAGCGTACCGTGTACGTAATTAAACAAAGTAATAAATATCATGTTCTTTTTTTTATTTTATAATGCCATTAAATCTAGTGCTTACAATCGTAATAACGCAACATTATATCTACAGTTAGAGCGTTTATACATAAACATCACACTACTTATAATTTCTGTCTGTATTTACAAGAAAAATTACTTTATAACCAGCAGTGGCTAATATTACTTAACAGTACGCGTAAATTCGCCAGGAAAATTGTAATAAATGAGATAAATAATTTATTAATTCATAAAAATCAACTATATTTTACCTCCCGTCGTATTAGTAGCCACCGCCGTTACAAGATCTCGTTATTAAGTACGGATTTTGTCGTGTTCGTTATTTTTTTTATCACTCGCTTAGACTATTTTGTACAGTTCGTAAAATCTGCCTTTGGAACATTTCGAAAATTAATTTAAAAAATATTTCGGTATTTACATGAATGTCCGTTATAAATCCGGCGGGTCGTTTTGCTGCTGGAATTGCCAAATCCGAAAAAAAATAAATTAAATAATTATGTACAAGTAGCTGAAAAAATATGATTAATTTGGCTTGAAATAGGAGATATTATAATAGGAGTATACAGAGTGAGTCGATTAGGTTGCATCCACAATAATTGTTGTTATTAGTTGTTTATTCAAATATATTTTTAATAGATTTTTTTGAGCTATTTTTTACTTAATTATTTTAGTTATTGCGAAGGGAAGTGAATTACTTCATCGACTCACCTTGTATATTACCTAAAGAAGGCAAATCGTCTCGATATTCGGCTGTCCTGTTATGAACTAATAATTTCTGAAATTATTTTACAAATATACTGAAGCGTATCATTAACTGTAGTTGAATAAAGGAAGTGTCTCTTTTTTTCGAATCGTAAAAATTGGATAATAAAAAACTGTAATAGCCGTGCTTAATGACCAATGAAACCAAATATTAACGCAAAAAAATGATTAAAATGATTTTTCAATAGAGACGTAATGGTTCTATCGCAATCACAAAAAAAACCCGTTAGAAAAATTGGTACAAATTACCTACTTACAGGGTGGATAAATTCTTCCTATTTCACACTTGAACAGTACCGCCAGTACCGCGTAAAAATCGCTTGTAACAACAACAACAATCAACAACCAGGTCAAAAAAAAAACCCACCAAATTTATATCCAATAATAACTATATACAAAAAATAATTACTTAACGCACTATTGCACATTAAAATGCTCAGTCCGATGGGCCAGAGTAAGTGAAAAACGCTCGTCGCGCATATACACAGCGTGTCCCAAAAAAAAACACCAACCAAACAAAAATCAACCTCTAACACATCGATTCGGCCAAAGCGGGCTGCGGGGCGCTGTAAGGCCCGGCCCACGGCTGGAGGTTCTGGAGCGCGCTCAGCGCCGTATCCCCTGGTCCGGGCTGCGGGGGCGGCCCCTCGCTCATGTACCCCTTCGAGAGGGCCTCGGCCTGCAGGGACAGCATCAGCCTGTTCGCCGCCTGTCGCTCGGCCTCTCGCTCTTCGGCCGTTTGTCGTCTGAAACAAATCCAATCCGCTCTATAATCGGATGTATTGAAGGTAATATACAGGGTCGGTCCGCTGCGAATTGGACATATATGGTTATAAAGAGGGTAAGGAAGAGTGTGTAGCTGATATTTTGTAACTAAAGCTAGCAATATATGCGTAAAAATGTTCCTAATCTGTGCTGGAAATGTGTTAAACTGAAGGTGGTTTACTAAACTTCTAAAGGTATAGGTGTTTTCAAATTGTTCATGATAATTGTAAGAATAGCTTTTTGTACTATGTAGTATTTTTTGATTTCAATAAAGCTGATTATACAAAATTTTAGAAGTATTTAAAACTGTCCATCAGAATCATTTAGACCCATTTTAGAATTAACTAGGACCATTCAAAATAAACTGCTCCACAAAAGTTAAGGAAATTTGCAAATTTTGCGATTATTTTAAAAGTTACAGACTTTTTGATCACCAAATTTTCAAATATATGCGAAATTAAATGTTTTCTATCATACCTGAGTGGATTTTTTGTCCCTACCTCTGCAACTTATAGTAAATTTGGCGATCATAAAACCTGCAACTTTTAAATTAATCCCAATATTTGTAAACTTCCTTAACTTGTGGAGCAGTATAGTAAAGAACGATCTTAGAACGGCACAAAATCATTTAGAACCGATTCAAGGACTATTTGGAACGGTTGAAGATAAGTTCAGAACCACTTAGAACGTGTTCAGGACTATTTCGAACTCTTTTAGAAGACTAATTTATAGAAAAACTCGACAAATTTGGTAAAATATTGCTAAAAATCGTGAAATTTACTTGTAAAATATTCAAAAAAGCCATGGGACGACCCGGTATAAACTTGTAATAGTAATTGGATGGAGTATTGATGAGCTGCTTTAATGAATTTTTGGGGTGCAGGTGTGTGGCTGATGATGTAAAATGGTAATTTCGTAAATGGGATATTTAGTTTTTATTAGAGCGTATTACGGATTTATGTTGTCTTTTAAGGGATGCTGTAGGAGTATTAGAGGTAAATTGGCAGTTACGGGAGATTGTGGGGCATGCAATGGGAAATCTAGCCGAATTAAAATAGTTGGAAATTCGATTAGAAAGTAAGAGGTTTAGGCGGAAACGTCTCGTTTAATTCGAAAAAGCTTCGTATCAATTACACTAACAACGTTCCGTGTAGTTTACCTCGTATATATACGGGGTAATTCGATGAATGGCCGTTCCAATTCGGCTCCGAGCTCGTCAAAACTGATAAAAGATTTGAAGAGTTATTAGAATAAAAAGGCGAGTTTTCGAGAAAAAAAGAAAGTCGTTGACAGTAAATAGAAACGCAGTGACGACCGCGGTTCAAAACCTTTTAATAATTCCGCACCATCCGAAGGAAACCTCTTTTCGAATCCATTTTTTATTCATGATAAAAGGGAGTGACATATGGACGTTTAACACCTTGTAGATCAGTCACTTCTTTCGACAGTATCACGGACGAGAAAGCGCTTCCGTATTTTTTATTTACGCCTCCCCGAAAAGTACCCGCCCGTGTAGGCTTTAAAAAAACAGAAAAATCAATCACTGCGTAGATGCGAAAATATTGCAAAAAAAAAATAACAATTTTTCTTCTCTTACAAACGTGGTTAAAACTGCTGATGGGACTTTAAGATGCGGTCGATGATACAAATAAACACAAACTAACAAAATTTGACATTAATGACATTTCGTGTGACAGAAATTAATAGAGGTGGGAGTCGATTTTTTGGTATAGAGGTGCTGTAACTTCTTGCATTGCTTTATAAAACAATGATTAAGAATTATTTTAAATGCGTTTGCATATAGGAATAAGGCACATTCGACGGTCCGGTAGGTAACGAGAAGATCTCATTGACATCTTTTTTCGATGTCGCTTAAAACCGGAGGTATGTCGAGCAGCGCTCCGGTGTAACAAACTGCCTGGATTTTTAATTGCCTGTCCAGTAATGGACATACCGTGTAAAACAAGCGAGTGGCGCCGATCGCTGACAATTGACAGTCGCCCCACATCGCGACGACACGATTTTAAAAACGGGGTGTTTTATATATCCTTTTATCGACTGGTCGGTTTTTAATCTGGTTTTTTTTTTTCGGGGCCCCGTTAATCGCCCAAGAATTTACTAATGGGTTTATTAAACACGGCCGTTTATCGATGCTGGTATTGATTCGATAGCATTTCTATTTACTATACTAAAATGCTAAAAATTTAAGGGAAATGTTGGCAATACTGATTTTTAAATAGAATATTCCATTAGATATTAGAGAGTAAAATAATTTAATATTAAAATGCTAGATAAAAATTAACTAGTGAACTCATAAAATTGACTATATTCCCAACAAATTTGCACTTACCTATACATCGTTTAAGTGTCATTAAATAATTTACTAAGTTACTCTCTCTATATAGTTTACGTAAAACTAATACACAGAAGCAATTACACCGTCCGCACGTTATCTGTACCGTATAATGGCGTTAGCGAAAGATTTTATATCGCAGAACAGACCCAACGAAATGCTCCTTAATGTCGCCTAAGTGCCGAAGGAAAAACAAAGCGATCAATTTCAATTAACCAGTTTACGGTCTGTTAACCAACGGAGACGATGGTATATACGCACGAAAATCGCGGAAAAATTACCGCGGAAAATCGCGAAAATCGATGGAGTTGTCAATTAAACCGGATGCACTTAAGTGTTAAAACCGGAATCCGCCCGTACAATCGATGTACTCTGGAGTGCCATTACCGGCAAGTGTCCGAGAGTTGTTCTAAAACGAGGCCCGACAGGGGTTAGGGACACGGCAGTAGTGCCAATTTGACACCCTAAAAGCCGCTGAATAAAATATAAGCCGACAGAGCAATATGTTGAATAATAAACACTGACATTGGTCTAGTGTTTAGGATGTTAAATATTCAGCAGAACTCTCGCCACTATTGAAGTTGATTTTTTTTTCCGGGGGACGATTTTATCGGATCCGTGTACGTACAACCTGTCAGTTAATTTTCCCCGTAAAATTTCGCCGTATCTTAACTCCGGTTTAATTACATCCGAGTGTTAAATCGCATCGCGAAAATAACAAACTCTCCTGCCTTGAATAAATCATAAATTCAACGGAATAAATCAACATCAGTATTAATTTTAAAGTCGTTTGTATTTTCCGAGCGAGTTTGCGGAGCTAATTTCCCGCAAAAACAAATTTAGCGTTTTCGGAAAATTGGCCGGGCGGAATTGTGTAGGTGTTGTTCGGGGGCGCGAAGCGCGCAGAGGGAAAGGAACATTATCTAAATAGCGTTAGGTGTTGATACAATGAAGCTTTCATTATTAATTAAGTCCATAATTAAACTACGCGGGCGCTACCGTAATTAGTACCCTTATTAGGGACGAGCGGAATATTCCGAACAGAACTCGGATGCTGGAAACTGGCTAACCAGGATCGGATCTTTTAATATATTTTATTTTATAAAATTTATGAGAATAATTGGAATGAAATAAATTTAATCAAAAGTAGTAGAGTAAATCAAATAGACGTAAATTATTCGGAAAATAATGATGACAATTGTTGTAAAAAATGGTTAAAAAATTATGTTATTAAATGTTAAATTGATTCTCATTAGAATTACTAAATTTTTAGTACTTTCTTTTTGAGAATTTGCAAAAAAGTGTAGGTATAACAATTTTATTTCCTTAAGATAAAAACAAACAAAAATAGTGCAAAGTATTAGTAGATATAGTAAAGAGTAAAGAGTAGAGAGTAGAGTATATAGAGCAAAGAATAGAGAATATAGAGAGTAAAGAGTAGAGAGTAGAGAGTAGACAATAGATAATACTTAGAGAATATAGAAAATAGAGTGTAATAGATAGTTAGATAGTACAGAGAATAAATATACCATATATGCAAGATTTTTCACTCTTGTATTTAAATAACCGAATAATTTAAAATTATACGAATGGGCCGGATCCGTGCCTGTGCGCCAGAACGTCGCAACAATTTTAATTAGTTCTCTGCAATTAATAATTAGCAGGAGTTGCTCGGCGGAGAGCAGTAATTTAACTAAACCAATTTCAAATGGAACAACCGAATCCCGGACTTTTTGATAGGAAGATTTCCCGGGCCCGCCCTATTCTATTCCGAACCCGTTTCGAATTATAACGCGAATTAAATAACTCTAATTAAAAGTGTTTTTTAATTAGACCGCCGTTCGGCTCTGAAAGCCGCCGAGGAATCCAGAAGGAGGCGAGAATAAAAAGGAGAATTATCGGATTCCTTGCGTTATACCTACCTAAGCGTTGCGAAATTAGAACTGATATAAACTAATTGCTTGATTATATTAAATAATTAAACCAACAGTACGGCGTACTGCTAACGAGCAGCTGATATTCGCAATATAATAGAAGATATAACATAATTCAATAATACAATAAGAAATTACTAGTGGTTTTGTGCTTTTTAGATGAAGCACCAGACCAAATAATGATGTAGGTGGTATACAATAAGAGAAGCCATATGGCCTTTTAAAAAGGAGAATTTTTATTATACATCTTATGAAAGAAAATTTATTGTTATTTCGATATCAATCAACAGTAGGATTCGATTTAAAGTCAAGGAGGGTTTCATATAAAAAGACACAAAGGTTTTGAAACGATTTTAAGGCTGTTTTAGAGCTGTTTTAAGGGGACGAAAAATCTGGGAAACTAGCCAAACTGTCCTCATGCCATTTCAAATATTTTTACAGCGCTTTTAAAATCTTGTCCGCGTCACGCGCGATGCTTTGGTAAATTAACAGGTCGCGGAGGTTAATCGCCCTTCCCCGCGGGTTGTTCGAAAAACCGATGAAATTAGTTGGGCGATTAAGGAAGGAGGCAATTAAAAGGTACATGGTCAGTTACTTAACGAAAACGAGTGCGAATCGAAACGCGGAAGGAGAAAATCACTCGGCCGGACGTGTTATCGCGACATTTAATTGTCCTTTTACTGACTAATACTAATTGTCGCCCCGGCGATAATAAAAATCGTACAATGGCAATCACGCCGTTAACTTAATAGAAATGTTCCGCGGTAAATTGGAAACGCTTCGGATATCTAGTGAGAAATTTGCATAAATTGTAAAACGAAAAAACTGTTATAATTCGGATTTACGACCAATTATTACATTTAAATCCCATAAATCTTGTTTTATTAGCTTTTAACCGAAATTAATCGTCGATGTTTAATATACTTTTACTTCAAATAGCGTTTTATGCATGTAGGTGTGTTCGTTTGTTATCGACTCGACATTCGAATTTGCTATAATTCAAGATTAAAAAGATTTATGGCGTCAAAATCGTTGATAAAACTTCCTCATTATACACCCGGTGTTGGTTTAATTGATTATTAATTACTTCTCCCACACCGTTTTTATAACGCATTAACACCAATATTTCGTTTACACTATAACCCTTTCATCTTCAATAGGTAGATTTACATCATCAATTTTCAGTCTTAATCACATTTCCAATTCGATCAATTAAACACAAGTTGCGGAATAATCAGGGAAAATTAATTGCTAATGACATTCAACGGCTCATAACATCCCCATAATTCATAATACACGACAAATCCGCCATTGCGAATTCAAACGCCGTCCCGTAAATCAAAATTATACTATTCCCGAACCGGGAAAATTGCACTGAACACCACGGAAATAATCTATACACAGGGCTTTTCACGCTAACCGTTCGTTATGATTTTAGGCTTATAGAAAAACTCTGCATAGATATCTCAAAACTACTTAATTTTTTTGCTAATCGCTTGCTATACCCAGTACATTTTTCTAGGGAGCGTCGCGACGCCTACGCGGGCGAAGGGGCGCCTATATATACAGAACGTCGGGCGAGAGGGTGCCGCCGTTTTACTGCCGGCGTTAATAATTGAACGTCAGGTGCGATTAACGAACCACCTCGCTTCTCTTCCCATTGCTTTGTCTTGAGGGGGCGAATTCCGAATTTTCGGTACGTCCCACTCACTTTAATTACTTTTATACGCCGCGCGTAAAAGGCGCGAAATGCGCTCGTATATATCCCGCACCTCGCTGTAGCAATGAAATTTGAAATTCTTTCGAATAAAGGAGAAAATTTGTTAGAATTTTTCCGAAGGGAATGGTTCAATTCAATGGTTTGAATTGGAGGTTTAAATATGAACCAAGGAATAAGTAGGGGTCTTAGTATGAGATCTGAGGGTCTTAGTGTAGGTCTTATAGTAAGAGTCTTTGTATGGTTCTTAGTGTGTGGATCTTAGTACAGGTCTCAGTATGAGGGTCTTAAGAGAGTCTCAGTATTGGTATTTTAACGGCTCTTAGAATGAGTATTAAATAGTATCTATGGGTCTTAATGTGGGTCTTAGTATGGCTCTTGTATGGGTCTTAGCACGACTCTTAGTATGACTCTTATTGTAGCTTTAGTAAGAGTCTTGGTGCAAATATTAATGCACATCAAGTATCAGCATTATTACAAGTACAAGAAACGTTTTCAGCATAGAAATTTCGGTGGTTAATACATAGTTGATATGCGATGATCCTTACCTCCATTTCGTCCTCCTGTTTTGGAACCACGTCTTCACCTGGGCATCAGTCATTTTCAATGTTTTAGCTAAGGCCGCCCGTTCCGCCGACGCCAGGTATTTCTGTTTGTGAAACCGCTTCTCCAGCTCGGCTATTTGTAACCTGGTGAACGACGTTCGGGGCTTCTTCCGCTTGGGCGGCGTCCTGTTCTGGTACGGGTGCCCTATTCGCCTCGTCATCGGAAACGATGCTGCAACACAAAACCATCACGGTCATTCAAAAATGATGGAAACTAATTTAACTATAAGGTGCGATGTTAATTTAACAGCTGGTCCATTGTAAAATTAGAAAAATGTATGTAGAGCTGAGGGGCAAAGCTTTAGCTATAATAAAGGTCAATTTTAATGACCTGTTCGATCACCAGATTTAACATCACTCGATTTTGTTTCGAAATATGATCACTATTACTGTTTCATACAGTCTGAACCCCGTTTACGATAAAGTTTCTGGCGTATATTATAAGCTTTTGAATAAAAATTATACGGGGTGGCCCAGAACTCACGCCCCACCGGGAAATACCCTATGGAAACGACAATGGAGATGCCAAAACTGCAGTCGAAGGCAGAAAAAAGTTATTCCTTTGGTAAATAAAGAGGTTCAAAATCGACCAATCCCAGTAGGAATTCTAATCCACGAAAATGACGTGAATTAGCTATACACCAATTTGACATTATTGAAAGATTCTATTTCCTTTACACTTTCAAGTTTAACAAAAGCTGCCAAAATCAGCTGTGACTATTGATCAAAGATTTGCTTCCAAATCGATCATTCAGAAGCTTCGTCGTGCTGATATCAAACCTACAGAATGTTTTATCCCTTCAAAAGTGGTTCGAATCGAATGATCCATTCTTTGATCGATTTTAGCGTTTTGGGCCACCCTATATACCCTTACACAGCGCTACCTGTATCTAATAGCTCCACATAACGTCGAAAATAGCAGCGTTTTGAGGTAAGCGCCCCCTAATTGCATTCCGTTATCGAGGACTCGGTTAACGACGGGAAATAATAAACGTCGATTAGTCCCGGAGCGGCGGCGCTCCCGTAATTTTCTCTCCGTTTTCGGCGTTTCCGAGTTATGACGTCGTTATGACGGCGATATCGTAAAGTGTTTCGGTACATTAAAACGCCCTCTGTTAACCGCTAACTGGCGAGATGATCGCTTAAAAGGGAAACCCGGTCGCGTTCCCGTTGCGACTTTTGGTTTCTCCTCGAAAACGCCCGGAATGTTCGGGTACGTTTTATAGAGGTGTATCATGCGGCCGGGGCGCGTTGCGTATATACTTATTAGGGGAGGCGTCGCGACGGCGACGCCCGCCGTCGGTGTTGTAATAACGTGGCGGGATTAATGGCGTTCGCGTTTCGAACGAAAGGGTGACTTGTTTTCCGAGAGTTTATTAAATTGTAGTTTTAAATTGCTGAAGTTGCGAAGTGTAATAAATTGCCATTTTTATGAGGCGCTTTAATTTGGTCATGTCGAGAAAAATTGGGCGTAATTTGGGTAAATTTTAATTAATTTATTTTACATTAAACGCGCCAAACGTTAGTTTTTATTATAGATGATTAATAGTTTCTATCAGAAAAATATTACTTTTAACGATAGTCGAGTCTAAAATAAATTATTAGCCGATTTGGTGAAAGTTAATAGACCTGAAGTGGGTATCTATATAACCTATTGCGTTTTTAAAGCTTTTTTATTGATTACCATTCTGTTATATTATAATACATTATTTCTTAATAGAATACAGTTGATATAGGGTGTGTCAACAATAACCTAAACAACAAAGTAATATTCAATTAAGCACCTTTATCTCTTTTATTTAAAAAGTTCATGTAAATTTAATTAAATTAAGAAATAATTCAATTAAAATTAACACAAACATCCTAGTCAACTTACAGTATAATAATAGCAATTGAATAATATTCAAACCTAATCACACGATTTAGTCTAAGTAATTACACAAAAATTACGCTAATTACAGTAATTGAACTAGTAGATAATATGTAATAATTAGTTCCATACATCATTTCTGAATTAACATATACCGATACTTTTATGTTGCAATAAAGTCCGGGGGTTTACAGCTCATCAAAAGATAAAAAGAAAATGAAATTTGTCACAACAATCGAAACCGTTTCGCGTTCGAAGCCAATTCAAATAAATCCACGGTAATATAGGTACGGCTAATCAACTCAATTAACAGCACCCCGAACGGACGATCTCCGATATAATGCCGGGAAAATTCATATTAAAATTTCGTTATATATTGATTGGAAGGTCTCCCGGGAGCCGGCGTATCGCGCCAATAAATTTCCAATTTACTTTTATTACATATTTAATATTAATTATTATTATTGGGAAAACGGTCGAATTCGATTTGCGCGTTTCGCCCTAATCGAATGACCGTCGGAAATTTGAATTTGCTCATCAATAACCAATGGCGTATTTAAAATTATTTCCAACGTGTTGTTATCAAAGACGTCACCGATAATCAACTGGTGAATTCCTGTTTGAAGGGTGTACGATACGGAAGTTTATATTATCTGTGTTGATATTACTAATTTTTGTTATTTCTATACCCTTCTCAGGCTCTTCTTTATGGTTCTATATTATAGAAACTACCAGGGATGAACTTAAAGATGCGTAGAATTTTTACATGGATTTATAGATTGTTTAAAAGTGATTTTTTTGGTTTTTTTGATCTGAGATATATATTATAGAGTCAATTCTATGACCATATTGTACATCAAAAGATGTGCAATTTATTATACATATATGCTTAATTGTTCAATTCTATGAGTTGAACAGAACAAAGAAAGTCTATTAAAATATACCAGTGGTTTATTATAGTGTGAAAAGTTGCAATTCCATAATATAACACTTTCTTTTTCCTTTGTATGAGACTAATGGAAAATTTGCATACTTATTTGAATGTATACATAATTTTAAACGCTTAAATGATGAAAAGAAGGGTACCAACAGGGTATTGAAAATTCCAATTTTTAATAAATGTTTGTTGTTTTATGTGACTTCAAGGAATATTTGTTTTCTGAAGACAATAGTGGAGATTTGCTGCTTATTTCTACCCTTATGCACAGGACCTATTTTGATTTTTCGGTACTCAAAAAACTGTGGCAGAACAAAAATTGGAATGCATGTTGATTTGTAACGACAAATTTAATGTAATTGTCTCGAGATGATTATTAGCAGAAAAATCGTAATCAAATCCCATTATAAATAAATTAAGTATTATCTACTCGAAATTGACGCAATAAAAAAGCATCAACATGTTAACGAAAAAACGCATTACAGACGAACCGGTTAGTACATGAACATAAGTAATCGCCGTTCCGGCATATGTTTTATATTAATAATAATAAAGAACACAGGAAAAAAAAACACACACACACAGCATTTCGACCGCTATAATACACAATCGCAATTATATAAAACTTCGTGTGTTTTTATCGCTCGTTCCGTCGACATTCAATTGTTAGATTATGGGTTCGTAACATGCCCGTCAGATGGTTATCTAAAATTTCCTATTACCTCGAGACATCTCATTGGCCGGAGCATTAATGATGTTTTTACGTGTGGTTGATAGAGCCAGCTTTTTTATTATAAAACGCAACATGGCGGATAATTACATGGTGCGCTGGACGCGGCTCTCCCGCTCCCTTTCTGCCGATATATACGAAGGTTCTCTAAACGCAAATCTCTACCTATATATGGAAATTACCAAGCCGGAACCGCGTATTATATAATACGTGTAATTTGTACCATCATCCCGGAGTTAATGTATAGCCTTTCTAAAGTCAATTGAATATAACATAAACACCGTTTTCCTAACGTGGCTCTTCTACAGAAAAACATGTTAGTTTCAAATTGAGAATATCTTTATTCTCGAAGTCAATTGAAGCAACAGGATTAATTGAAGCTTTATACAGAGAAATGGGAAATATTTAAAATTCAAGAATTTAATTGAAGAATAGTGTATTATTTGTATATACAAATACTATAATCTGTCTATGAATTAACACTATATACAAACTCTGGATATGAAGTTATCTAAATAATGAACTTTGTGTGTACCTATAATAATTTCCCTGGGTTCGATCGTTCTTTACCGGCGTTTGATTGAGTTTAAAGTTTTAAAGCGTCGACGCCATTTTGTCCCGCGAGTAAGCTCAACTTTGAAAGTTCCCTTTCGGAGAAAATGGGCGGCGGGGCTCGGATTTTAGAGCGACTTCGCGTTGGTAATAGGTATTGATCAGGGGCTCTTTCCAGCTTTTTATTTCAACGACTATGTTGCCACCAGGGGCGGCCCTCGATTCTCATTTCCTGAATAAAAAAAACTTCGAAGTACCTAATCCCTAAATTGATGGGAAAACTACTCAATATATTTCTTATTGCAAATATTGGTTCGCGAGTTGGAAGTTTGCGAGACGAGCCGCGCACAAACGAGTGTTGGAATAAAATAATCCCCTTTTTAGCGACGCACGTCCGTGGAGTTTTTAGCGGCTTGCTTTCAACTTTTCACTTAACGAATATCTGGAGATGATAAATATTCTTTGCCGGGATAAAATGCCACTTTGAATAAACTTTTTCGATGGGGAATGGGCGGAAAAACGGCCGGGAAAATTAGGTTCGAAGGGTAGAAGGATATAAGAAGGGAACAATTTATAGGGGTTTCCGTTTTTTTATATCGATATGATGCGGTTTATACGCCGAATTTTATTTCAATTGAAATTATTAGGTGTAATTACTTGTTTGTTTCGGCGCCGGCGGTGGTAAATTGGAAGCAGAAATATTTTTATTACCTGATGATGTGATTAAAAAATGGTATTTTGATACTATTAGGTATAAATTTGTCGCGAGAATATGTTAAGTAGAAAAGAGGATTATTTGAGTTCTTTAGTAATTTTAAAAGAAATTGAATATTTTCGGTGGTTTTTAGTGCAATGAGCAAATTTACACTATTGGTTAGGCTACAGAGTAAAGTAGAGTATAGAATAATCAGGAGAAAGATAATTGAAAAATAACGCTTATTTTGTAACACTCGTTACTTTACCTCTATACCAAATAAAAGATTCCCACCTCTATTAAACTTCTGTCTTACGAAATGTCATTAATGTCAATTGTGTCAAGTTCGTATCATCGAACACACCTTCAAGTCCCATCACTCATTCAAAAGAATTATTTGTTATTTTCTGTAGTCTCTGCACCCGTCGGATTAAAAAATACCCTTTATTCTTCGCGCCCAATTTACATCCGTTCGTTGGTTCTACGTTTAAAAAATTATATTACAATATTTACTAAATTTCACACACCTTCTCTATATCTATACAAATCCCAATAAGTATTCCCAATGCAATTTTTGTAATGAATAGAAATCCTGCAGACCAGCAAGCTAATATTAAATCTTGCCCGGAAAACACCCCAATGCAAGGCGCACAAGGAGCGCTTCCACAGCCATTCCCGCCGAAGACCTGTATGTATATTAAAATTCTCCGGAGTTATGCGCCCGGCATAGGAAAGCGATGCAAATGGCCCATTTTATATTCGGCGTTACTCAGGCCGTTTAAGGCAAACTGCTCGCAGGTTTTATGGACGGCGCCCGTTCCGTCTCGAATGTGGCCTCGTCAATTATGTATGCGGCTTCATTACATTTTCCTCCCTCTTATACGCGCTGCCTGCATGCATGTGCACTGTTTTTTTTGCGTGATTTCGCGCAGAAACGCCACTGTCGAGGCATTTTAAAAGGCGCAATTAATAAGATTGTAGCAGGAGTTTTTAATACTGACTCGAAATCGTTAGATTATAAATAAGTCTCGGGGGGATATAAATATTTTTTTCTTTTCTACCTTTATACGTTTTGAGTCGATGCAGAAGGCCTTATCAAAGTTGAAAGCTTTATGTTGTTTGCATTAAACAACTGATTGTGGGCATCACGTTTAGTCTTACTTTATGGGGAACTTAAAATCGTTGTGATTAATTTTTGTTTTGTCGTATAGCAGGTATACGGATTACATGCATACCTATCAACGTGTATAAAAATAGATTGTTAACAGGTATCTTTAATTTTAATAAAATTAATTTGTTATTATAATATTAATCGATGCGATATTGTATGAAATACACTTACCTAACTCAATAAACTGTTATCAGCTACTATTCAATTTTAACACTATAATTAATTCTTTAATTTCAATAGAAAAGCTGTCCTTACTCGAGCGCATGCATAATAATAATTCTGACAAATGCAACATATGTTTTACAAACTAATAGGAATTTATTGCGGAATTCAAATAAAAAAACAGCCGTAAATATTTCCCAATAAGTGCTGTCTATTTGTTTTAGGTATGGAGGTATCGATTAATCAAAAAATTCTTCTATTGCATCTAATAATTGGAACTATGCAGGATTATTCCAGTAATAATTGTATACATAAAATTGTGATTCTATTGTATGCAAATAACGAATCGAGTAAAATTTCGTTAATTTTAAATCTCAAAAAAATAATGTAATGTAACTCGAATAGTATCCCGCACACTAATTTACTAATTTCTCGCATTTGAATTAATCAACGAGCGTTGTATTCTTTTACTGAAAACGATAATAAAATTACCGTAATTTCGAATGAAATTGAGTGTTACGTGTGCTTGTACTTAATGTATTTTTTAAGTTTTCTTTCAAATCCTACATTATTAGTTAATCAACTACAATGTATAACCTACCTAAATTTGTTTCTATTTAGCTAATAAACTTGATTAAATGAATCGTATAGGTATTATTATACACAATAAAATTCTCATGTAACTACATTTAACCACCTTTCTTCGAAACACTGATAGTATTCAACCGAGCACGTAATAAAGCAGTTTTAATTACGGAGCCAAATTTGCCGTGAAATAATTTTTTTAAACTGGTACACCATTACGAAATCCGGTACATGATTCCCCCATTTCATTGTTGCAATGGTAAATTAATATGATTATACAGTGTATAAAGTTTTCAGTCTCGTGAATATAACAAAAAGTCCCGGCCTGTAAATATTATTATTACGGCGATACATCACAAAACTGAAGATTTTATCACCGACATACAACAAGGACTATAATAGATTAAATAGTCATTATTGAAATTGCTCTATTTATGTGTATAAGTAGACATAGTGTTGGCTGCATGTTCTACAACTTGGACATATTATCATGCACTAATTTTACTTATTACTCATGGGACATGAGCTATTATTTATTGGTTAGTTAATTGTTTCATTACAAATATTTCCATGTTCCATTAAATTACAAAAACCGATGTCGAAATAATTAGATTCACTATACCAAAAAAAAGTAGAATAAATTTAACGACAAACACTTGAGTTATTGTCGTATATCGATTAGGTACAGGAGGCATTAATGGCATATAAAAAATATAAATAATTCAGGTAAATAAGCACTTCAACGATCGGTTTTCGAATAATATTCTAATAAATGCCCTATCGCATGTCAAGACATAATAATACACCGCTAACGAAATGGCGTCTTCAAAATGGCTGTTTCTACTCGATAATTTCCCCAATTACGTTCCGGTTCTTATTTTTATACTCGAAACCGAATCGATTTTGAAATTATGCACCTATTCGAAGGAGGCACCCTTTATTGGACGTTTCTATATTCCACTAAAATCGGAAATAGAAAGACATCAGACGAATAAAAAATGCAATTGACTAATATAATGTATAGGTTTTATTGTATAGAATTGAGTTTGTGAAGAAAGGTCGAAGGCCTATAATGGTTTTATAGATTAAAATACCAAATGTCCTGATGGCACAGTGCAGGTACTCAAATTTAACATAGATTTTAATTCGAGCTTGCAAAAGCAAAAGGTTTGAAGTTAATTGATGATGTTAATTACTAATAAGTTGATTATTTATATGTTAATTTATTCAGATAAATTCACATAATTTTACAAGAAATAATAGTTTTTTAAAAAAGCTCTATAAATAATTATGAACATTTTTTTATAGTTTATCTTGGACCGTTTAAAACACTCCTGAATTTATGAATAAATGATTTTGAGTTGAAGAATTCTAATGTGGTTCTGAATAAATCGTCCTTAACTATTTAAATAATACTTGTCAGTTCTGAGATGGTTCTAAACGATTCTGGACGGTTCTAAATGATTTTAAACAGTTCTTAATAGTTTTGACATCATCCTGAACGGTTTTAAATGGCTCAAATCAGTTCTAATAAGATTGGCTCTAAATGATTTTGAATCGTTTTAAATGGTTATGAAATCGCCCTGAACGGTTTTAAATATTCTATAGTCAGTTGTAAGACGGTTCTTAATGATTCTGGTCGATTCTAAATGATTTTGAACACTTCTGTATAAAGTGATGGTTTCTGAGATTCACCAGAACTGTTTCAAATGATCCTATATAGTATAAGTTCTAAAATGGTTCTATTCTGATCTATTCGAATCCGATTCTAATTCGTTCTAGAACAATTCTAAATGGTTCTAAAACTATCCTACATAAGTCTGATCACGCTCTTCTTTTTCCCTCTTTTGTATTATTCCTATATGTATATTATAGGTACTCGTATATATCGACGCGGACCGATCCGATATGAATTGCTATTGAATTGTAAATCGAGGTCTTGATATAAATAAATTAGAATTTTCCTCATACTAGGCAATAATGTAGTAAGTATTAAAAAGAGCTATATAGTGAATAAATACATACCGGCCAGCCGGTCTTTGACGACCTGCGTAGCGAAGGCGGCGGCGGCGGCGGACCGCTGCAAAACGGGATCCAAACTGAGCGACCACGGCGCGAACAGCGGCCCCGGCGGGCTGGCGGGCCCGCCGAGCGGCCGGTGCGCCGGCACCCTGAGCACCCCCTGTCCGTAGAACCCGGTCGGCACCAAGCCCAAGGCGCCGCGCTGCTGGAATATGCCCGCCGGCGTCTGGTAGAGCCCCTCGCCCCCATCCACCAGGTCCTGTTTGCTCTCGAAGTTCTTCCCCAGCAGATTCGATATGCTGAAGGGCAGCGTGTTGGTGGTGCCGCGCGCCGTCGTCACGTTCTCCGGCGAGCTGCACCGACTCCTGGACCTGGACCGCGAACTGCGCGCCTCACTGTCACTGTGCGATAGCCTCGAATCGGTGTCCAGGACGTTGATTTCGCGATCGTCTTCGGTCAATTCGTGGTCTGACATGTTCGTTTCGTGTAATTAATCGTAACGGAAAAACTAACAAACCAAACTAAGGAACTTAGTGCATGATGGTGTGCTTCGGTCGCGCACCCAGCCAACTGACTATACGACGAAACGCGTCCGTTGCCGTTCGAACGACGGACTGACCGGTTGCCATGGCATCGTCAACGTAGCGCGATCTGCTCGAACGATTGGCCAGATTGTGGAGATTGACTCCACCCTTAAACGGATCCCATTGGGTTATTCTGATTCCGGCTAAATTGAATATCTTTTGTGTTAATTTTTTCGTTGTTTTTTCGTATGCCCGTCCCGGGGAGATCGAGTCGATCGCGATCGTCTTTTCTTGTCTGGCCCGTTCTTCGAACGAGAAACGGAGACTATCGCTCTCCTGCCGCAGGTAGGGATAATTGCCCGTTTATTTTTAGTTTATTGAATTGCTATGTTGACGGATGAAACGAGTATAAAGTTGTGATTAAAATAATTGGATGGAATTTAGTGATTTTTGTATTATTTTAATTTTAGAAATAATAAGCGCCACAGTACCTATACATAAAATATTAATTACGTAGATATAATTCGTTTTTATAAATCTGTTAACAAAATTAGATAGATACAATTAACTGGTTTATGATAATAATTAAAGCTTGTAATAAAATCGATTACATTTGTAGGTACTATAACAACGTTTTACTGTTTAGTGTTTCGCATTACACGCGCAAATTAACCGGCGTATAAAAAAAACCACAATCGTCGGGAACATAAAACATAATTTTATTTAATTACCCAATAAATAATTAAATAAATAAACTATGCGACTACATAATTGCATTATTAGTTACCAAATTAAACATAGTAATTATCAATTATCAATTTATTTATATCTAATATATCGAATATAACGAAAACAATACAAATAAAATTTGTTAACAATGTTAGCGCTTTCAGTTTGAGTGGGTAATTAGGAGGTTTTGACGTAGGCTAATGTGTTTTTGTGTAATTGGCGTACAAATACACATGTAAGTTAATTTATTGCGGTATTTTTTTATATAACAAGACATAAATCCAAAGTAATAAGCACAATAGGCACCAAAAGAAAATCCCCTCGCATACGACACCATAAAATAATGCTGGAAAAATATAGTTGTACTTCCTCCAGGTTGAAAATACGCGCCACGTACCCTCGTAAATTGCGATTAGAGCAAGAATATAAGATTGAAACTACATGTTTACCTACGTAACTGTCATCCACAATTTGGAATAGCATCGTATAACAGTCCGGCGATCATAAACATAGACGAAACAGCGCCCTGTATAACAGTGCTGGCGTCATTTCTCCAAGGTTCATATTATTTTCTTTCGGCTACAATCAATTAATAAAACCTGTCTTAGATATCTACTAGAATTAATTCCAATTAATACATTTCATAATCTTCTCTTTCTCTTTGAGTTTTTCTTTGTATACAGCTATAGGTAATTGGGTGAAGATTATTGAAGGTCCTAGAAAAGGCAAACTATATTATAATAAAAAGATTGATATATAGGCTTGATTCTCTATTAGAAAAATAATATAAAATTTGACATCTACGCTCGTGTCAATCATCTTCCACAAGACATACATACAGGTATAAGAAATAGGAAGAGGTAAAGGTACAGGATAGATACGAAGCCGAATAAAATTATTAGCAGAAGAAAAGTAATCCGGCGGAGTAATAAAAAGCAGACGGCACAACCCGAACGATTCAGTGGCCCTCAAAGATTTATAAAAACCCTTAAACATAACAATAGCGCAGCAGTTGGCATGGCATAAAACAAAAGCTAACCGCTATTTCTTACTCCAATTTGCCGTGCTGCTCATTTGTTTCCGCGCCATCTTTGAAAAATTGATGTGACGTCGACAAAGACAAAAGACTAACAATCAGAGCGAGATGGGCGTAGAGGCGAGGCGGGCGGGCGCGAGCGAGACGGAGCGACGGGCGCACCGAAGGATCTCCGAGGTGAGCTATGACTCGTAGACCAACCACATGTACAAACTGGCAGGAATAAAACAAGAGAACGACTGCACAATACTCTTTCGGAATACGAAATCGGAATTAGACTGCCATTGCCGTTGGGGAATCAATTCCAGAGACGGACTCCTATCTTAAATTTTTCTACCAACACCACTTATTAATATATACCTCTTATAAAAGTGGTATATTTTGTTACACCAGGTAAATCAAGTGTAAATTAGCAAGTTTAATATAATATTAGTGTTTATAGGGGTGGATAAAATATTTGAGTCCGGTCCTGTTTTATCACAACGAAGCGTTCTGCGTTAGGATTCGGATACACCCCAGGGTCATTTTTATATTTTAATTTGCCTCAAGGAAATTACCGGAATTTAATTTCACGCGGACGATTTATAATTCAAAAGTGGAAAACGAGTAGGTATAATAAGATTGCTCCCGGTTACTTTGAAACAGATTTTTTTTTGGCTGGAGACATTTAATGTAACTTCACTTTCCGGAATTACATATTTTACGGTACTTGTATATATTCGGTGTATGGCGTCGAATAAAAACGCAGGGATGGGTTTGACGAGCAATTCCTTACCCAAAACGGACTATTCCCGAGGCAATAACAAAACGCGGGCAATTCCGGAATACAAATAGGGCCGGAGAACTAATTTAGTTAACGCTTGACCCGCGAGAGGGCAGCGAATAAAACAATATCAAAGTTTAGTGCGAGTCACTGGGGGCTCCACTACGCCCACTTAAACTTTTATATTTCGGAACGCCGGGAGGAAAAAAAAAACGGGAAAGACGGACGTTATGGAGGGTAGATTCGTGGTCCAGATTTACTCTATTAGATGGAATTGGGATTGTAAATTTTACTGCTACAACGCGGAGGAATCGACGATTCGAAGCTTTTGATTGTCGAAAAGTAAGTTTGAGGTACAGGAATTCGTTTGGGAATGGAATATTAAATTTTAATTCATAGTTTTCGTGATTTTGGTGGAGGAATTAGTAAGGAAATTAAAGGATTTAATATATGGTGGAGGCGTCAGCTTTGATAGTTAAATGATTTAAATTTATGGTGGTGAACTCGCTTTGATAGTTAAAGAATTTAAAATTTTGGCGGAGGAATTCGCTTTGATAGTTAAAAGATTTAAAATTTTGGTGGATGAATTCGTTAAATTATTGGTACAGAAATTTTGCACAACAGTATAAGTAAGATCTGTCGTTCATTTGGATCGAATTAATCGACCCCGTAAAAAGGGGCTAAATAAATCATCGAAGTGCACAGTATTTAGGGCGTAAAGAGTTCCGGATGGCCCTAAAGGCGCTTTCAAATATTCATCGACCCCTTTTTCAGGGTTCATCGTCATTTCCATTTCAATAATTAGCAGACGTTTGGTCGCCGGAGACTGCTGTAATGTTTCAAGTCGACTGTTTAAAACTCGCGCCCGCTTCCTCGCCCCCTTCGCGACCCCTTTGAAATATTAAGTCGACCCTTTTTAACTTCAATTAAGTAGCTGGAACGGTATTGGTGATTTCGATCGTTCATTATTTACGAAAGGAACGCGGAGCTTTGTCTCGACGATTCGCCGGACAATCAAGACGATTTTTAAGGATGTATATAATATACAAGGTGTTACAAAAACTATATTCTGGTGATAAATTTAACTCGACTGGACCCTTTTGAATAACTAATGTGAACATTGTTATTTAAGTTATTTGTGGTTTAAATAAAATGTGAGGTAAAAAATATTCATTATTAAACTGTAGAGAACTCATCAGTACCTTTTGGCTACACCCTGTATATAATATTTGTTGCTTAGTAGGTATACGCTGTAAGGGATTTTTATTTGTTTGTCTGTACTTGTTAATTATGAATCAATCGCGTGGAAATTCGTGGAATTTTATAAAATTAAACGTTAAATAATTTTACGTGCGATTCCTGCGGGGGTTCGTTTTGTTTCAGCAATTAGTCGTACAAAAATAATCAGTATTTTAAGGCATTAATAAACAACGATCGAAAATCATCAAAAAGTAAAATAGCCGGCACAGCGTCGCGACGCCGCCGCTATATTTTTAATCGAAAATATAGTTTTTCCTACGCCTACGGGGATTCGCGTTGCGGGGATTCCCATCGATTCTGCGATGAACGGGGAAAAGTTGATGGATACATTCGTTAGAATTTTTCCGTCTCTGCCGCTGTTTTCATCTATCATTAAACCGACAAAAACAAAATGGTGGCGACCGGTATTAAAACCGAATGAAATCAATAATGCCGTTTAGTCCTCTCCTTTTCCCCGTTGAATGAAAACTTAATAATTCATCGCCGATACGACAAGTAATTCGACGTTTTTAAGTATTTAGGTATTCTCCCGGCGTAATTAACACCGCATTAAAAATGCACAAATTTTTCGCAATTCGCTCGAAAATGATATTCGGGTAAATACATATAGGAAACCGCAAGTGATACGTTAAATAATTACGTAAGAGTTTCGAGGCGTTTTTAAAATAATGCAAATAACCGTGGGGGACACGGGACATGTGTTCCGGGACATACGCGCGCCGAATTACATACCAAGCAACATGTTGCCAACAAACAGAAACAATTACCCCGAAAATTTTCGTGTAACTCGATACCGGTAATTTCTTATTCGGTAGGAGGTTCGCGGTCGAGATAAATGCGAGTTATTTTTAATCGTAATTAGTGGCATTTCCATCCGAATAATTGCCGGCATGTCGATTACGAACCTGCAATTAAAATCCGGGTTACGTATAAACTTATAACCGTTCGTTTAAGAGTTATGTAATGTCGAATTTGGAGCCCTGTAAAATTGGGTACAGTGAAGCTAGAGAAGTGAAATTTGTACCACACATGTCTTATGATATCTACTAAGTAGCTTTGTATCCACTCAACACCATGGGGTTAAACTACCCCTTTGAACTATAAGTGGTGTGTAAAAGGGTATTTATTCATTCGGATTTTTTCGACTCACATTTTGAAGCCTTATAAAATTAGTTATAGCTAAGCTAGAATAATGAATTTTTCAGCAAACATAGCCTCATATCCTGTCTTGACATCCACCAATTAGAATCATCCCTGTTCAACTCAATGGGGTTGAAGCACCCCTTTGAATGAGACCATGTTTAAAAGCGCAACTTCTAAAGAATAATTCGACCACTTTAAGATGTCTTCAGAAACTGATTTTTTTCTGATGAACTAGAGAATTAAGGACTCTAGAAAATTTGGAACTCGAAGGCTAATATCTTCACCTCCACCTACCACCTCTTAAACATACCCATCAGGAAACGACTGTGTATAAGAAGGAGAAAGCAGGAGGACTTTATATATGACTCAAACTCTAGGAGGATTTGAAGGTTCTTTTCAAACCACTTGCACTTGCAAACTCAAATACCTATATAACAGGACCATGAACCATGTTAAAAGATAAAATTGGAACAATCCGTTGACTCTAGAGCAGGAATTTCAGTAGATTTGCGAAGGTCGCGCCGCTGCAGGTTGCATTTCCTTTCAGGTTTTGAGTAATCCGGTAGCGGAAAGATAAAAAATCGATCGTTAAGTGGCCCAACTACGATTTTGAACTCTCCATGCGGTCGTTAAAATCCGGACCAGAATCTCGAGGATTTTATTTTCCGACGTACACCCGACTTTATTATGTGTTTGACTGGGCTTAAATTTAATTACGGTTAAATTATTTACGAGCGCTGATGTCGGTTCTGATTAAATCGAAGGAGCCCGACGATTTTATATCGAATTTTATCGCGAATTTTTACAACCCTCTTTTTTTTACATTCGCTCGTATATACAGGGCGTTGGTGGAACGTCCACCGCAACAAATCAATAAACGAAATGAAAAAGCATTCGATTATTATTTCGAAAGAGACGACTCGAAGGAAAATTAGCGGTGAGACCTAATAACATCCCCGAGTGGTCGTTATTACCTTGTGCTCTTCAACTAACTACAATTGCGACCATCTGTGTTACCGAGCACCATTGGCGTATCCTCTCACGTAAATTTTATACACTCGGAATAAATATAAAACACTCAAAAAAAATATTGTTAAAAATATACATAATTTTTTATGATAATAAATTTGTTGTAGCGCGTAGTTAAATCGTTGTGATTGGTACAGAGGGTGAGTTAAATTTTAGTGTACGTGCATGGGCTAAGTAGTCACGTTTGCGGAGCTAATGGCCTTACTTTAATATCGATACTTGAAAAATGGGCACCTAAACGCGGACGGAATCGTCATAATGACATTTTAAAAGTGGTAGAGAGACACAAGTTTCTCGAAACTTTTTACTTTCGGCTCGCCGATAGGGCTATTTAGCCGGCGATTATAACTCTTTGATATCGGGTTCTCTAAATGATCAATTTCGTGGGGACTCGAACGTTTCGTACGATCTTCGAGAGATTGTAATTTGGTTTTAGTTCGTTTTTTTTTTGTTCTTTCGTTTTCGAAAATTATACCTACGATATTAACGGGTTTATAATGGCCGGTTAAGGTAATTTCGTATATAAGACGATAGAAATGCGCGTTTTTTATATTTACTTATAGAGACACTCGTTGAAAAATCATTTTCGATATACAGCTCGTCGTAAAAACGCAGTCATTATAATATATTAGAACGTAAAAGTTGTCTTAATTAATAAAGTAATCGGAATCATTATTCAAGAATCCGAGATCGTTATTGGGCACTTTGAAATATGTGAATGAATTCCAAGTATTCCACTATATCGTTTCCCAAGGCATCGTCACAGCAACCGACTCTTCATATACAGGGTGATCCCTCCAATAAAACCAAATTTATACAACCCAGCGCAACAAACTGTTCATATAGTAATCTCAATATTTCAACGTCGTGACGTGATACTTTAGAATTTAGGTTAAATTAGTAGATTTCAGTCGATACGAATTGAATATAAATCCACCGTGTAGGTTTCAATTTGCATCGAAATATCCCACCAACTACGTGTTTAATGTTAAAGATTAGTTAAAATGTTTTCCAACTCACTAATGTCTTGCCGATTATACGTTAAAAGCAATAGCCTATTAATACTTATTTAAATGCCTTTTCGAGAGATAATTCGAACGAGACGCGATCGGTTCGCGTCTCTTCGCCGACGGTCGTACGAGCGTCCCGAAGAAGGACCCGGGGTTGTTAAAGTTAATGCATTTTACTTGTAGCCGATTAATAATCTCTCGGATGTTTAACGTTTCGAATAAAAACACGACCTTACAAGATTGTCTTTTATAGTTTGTTGTCGTCTCCGTCCGAGACAATACCGAGAAAATCGAGGAAAAAAAATATCAACAACACGAAACTTTGTCCAAACAACGGCCAGATTAACTCGATTAAATCATAACAACGTGACAAGGTCGCTCTATTAATATCAATGAACTGATATCCCGTTAAAATAGACCCAAGACAAAATAGACCAAAGAGAAAATTGCCCAAGATAAAACAGTCTTAACAAAATAGCCCAAAGACAAAATAGACCAAAGATAAAACTGCCCAAGATAAAATAAAATAGTCCCAACATAATAGCCCAAAGACAAAATAGCTCAAAGATAAAATTGCCCATGATAAAATTGCTCATGATAAACTTGCCCATGATAAGATTGCCCATGATAAAACAGCGCCACAAAATATCCCAAAGACAAAATTGCCCAAAATAAAACAGTCCCGACAAAATTGCCCAAAGAAAGATTTGTTTAAGAAAAAAGTCCCGGCAAAATAGCCCAAAGACAAATAACATACAACAGAAAAAAAATTGCATTGGAAATCGAATTATTACTTAGTAGGTATTACCGGAACGGTTTTATCTCAATCTATTTTATGCTGGGGCTACTTTTTCTTTGGGCTTTTTTGCCGTTGGGCTATTTGTCTTTGGGCTACATTTTGTCCCGGGCTATTTTGACGGGTCACGCCACGAACCCTATGCAAAGTTAATACCAGAAAATGTCTATTAGTTAATGCGATAGGTAAAACGTAAAATTATCCTTATGGGAACCTACCGGGTAGATTATTAATAAAGCGACGTCGAATTTTCCACGCAAACGAAACGGAGCGGATAATAATTTCGATATAATGAACAATGCGCTGGGTTATTCATGAGGAGACGACACACCAATCGCCGAAGTCTCGGCGGAATCCATTCATCCTTGAAATATAAATGATCACGTAAGCCATTAGATGGGAAACAATTGAAAAGTCTTCGTTTAAATATCGAGATGGCTTTGATTGGGGTCCACGGGACAATGGCGTACTATTGATCATTTGCTAAAAGGATCATAAAATTATTATCCCATCTCAAACAGAAACAGGACAATCCGTTTTTTGGACGTTGAATTATGCGATGCTCCCCGTACATTTAAACGTTGTTTATTCTGCCAATCGCTCTTTACCCGATAATTAACAAAGAATATTAAAAACAAATTTTTATAATTTATCTCCGGTCGATTTGCGAACGGCTCGGTTAATTGCAAAAGAAACGATGTAATGAAGATGAGGCAAACAGTTATCGTTCTGTTAATTAACGATTAAAACGAGACGTTTTCAAAATTTTATTCTTATTTTTTTTATTTCGTTTGTTTATAAGTTACAACATTAATACAGTAACAAACATTAATGGGTAAGTCCGATTTTCTTTTATAGCGCTTTAACTAATAGCCCTATAACTAATTCCACTTCCCTTTAAGATATAACGCAAATTTAGCCGGCGCATATAAATAGTACATTAACTCGAAAAATGTTTATGTATTCTTATCTGTTTTCAATAAATAAATACGTTAGGTTCTATATAAAGATAACACGTGTAATTTCAATGCCCGCCGAAATAGCCTATTATACAAAGGAGTTTTTTTCGTCAAACAAAACATTGGGGTGAGCGTTCTCTATGTCAGTCAAAATTTCTTATATTGCAGTAACAACACCGGCAGTTTCTGAAGACACTCCGATAAGTTTGCCAAGTAAATAAACCGATTGCTTCACACGAAATCGCCGCGATTATGAACTCCCTCACGGGCAGCATCTCCGATTCGATACGTTATTTGTACAGCAACACCGACGATTCGGACCGTTCGGAACGAGAACCCATCCTATTGAAAAGCAAAAGTAAGTAGCTGGACATATCGAGTATATTTTAAATTTATTATCGATTGTTAATAGAGCCCAAATGTTACGAAAATGTCCTCACCTTCCGGGACACGGAACTGGTTCAACCGGGGATACTACAAAGGGCTATTTCGGTATCCGATGCACCGCCTGATAGGTTTTATATTGCCGTTTTGGTAGCCTTTTTTAGCGGTCTTACCGGAATGTTTCCATTATCTTTCTTCGTAGTAGCAAATGATGTAAGTAACAATTATCAATTCACATACAACACAAGTGCAAGAAAGAAGGAGTCATTAAATATCGCCCAACAGGGAAAGAGATAGTTCTCACTGTGTTCCTATACTTGGGGATATTTTCAAATTGTTCAGGACAGAATCCATTTAGAATTGTCCAGGGCCATTTACATCAACTGTCCAGAATCGTTAAGAACCATTTTAGAAATGACTATTTCAAGAATGTTAAGATTGATCTAAGAACCATATAGGTTAGTCCAAAATCATTTTGAACAGTTCCTAGACAATTTCAAACCTTCCTGAATATACACTAGAAAATTTTAGAAACCATAAGATGCAAATGCAAGCCTCCTTAAAATCAATTGATTCCAGTATTGGATGTACAAGTTCAGGGACCCCATGCAGGAGACCTACGATTTGAACAACAAGACCTACTTGCAGAAAACGTTCGTGTCGATGTTGTCCATATGCACGGCATTTCCCAGCGTCATATCAGTATTTTTGTCGGCGAGATTGGGCCACAAAATCGAATTGAGGAGCAGGCTGTTGATGGCGCTGGCCGTTTGGAGCATCACGTTTCTCTTCATCACGGCGTTCGTTTTCATCGATACGGATTCTTGTACGTTTTAAATTGATTTGAAGTATTCGTAGGAGAATTGTAGTGTATGTAAATTGCAGGGCAGACTGTATTTTTTGGACTGACGATGACCGTTTGCAGCATAACTTCTTGTAAGGACGTTTCTATTCTGCTTAACAATCACTAACTGGGTGTTTTGTAGTTTTTCATCCGTTTTACGCGATGGCAAATTTGGTTTACTTATCGAAATTCCCGGTGTTTTATTTGAAATTGAACATGTTCGGGTCGGCTGTAAGCGGTTTATTAAGCACAATGCTGCAAATTATTTCTTTAGCCGTAGGACGGAATTCCACGCAAACTGCTCTGATTTACTTCGGATGTGGAACTGTAAGTTTAATTCTTGAATACTCTATTTCTCTATTGTGTGAAATTTTAGTTGGTGATCATATTCACACTGTTTCTGATGTACGTAAAGAAATACTCGCCCACTGTGGAGTATTATTTGGACAAAAGGAAGGCGAAGAATGCCACTTATACGCTACAAGAATATTGGCAAGTGGCCAGACAAATGTGGTTTATAATCGTATTATGCATTATAAACGGGGGTACTGTGAATATGGGTCATCCGAACATAACGAATCTGGTCGTGTCCGAGGGTTATACGGGCACTGGTGAAAACCTGTGGTATGGTATGTGTTTACTTTATGTATATTACAATGGAAATTTTTTAATCGCAAAAAATTTTAAAAAATGCGATACATAATTAATACAAACATTATTCTGTTGATAAATACTTTATATAATTAACGACTGTTTTAGATAAATACTTTGTTGTTGTGGCTACTTATTTGCTATATGATATTTTCCAAATTTTCGGAAGATTCTTCATGAAACCTATAATTACGGTACATATTTACTAATTAAGCACTTACCGAATTTTAATATTATTTTCTTTATTTTAGCAAGAAAACGCTTTGTATTTTATAGGAATCGCATTATTAAGAAGTATCTTTCTAACGCCTCTGTTATTATTTTGCAATGCCCAACCGAGGAATCACTTACCAGTACTATTCCCACACGATTACCAGTACATGATCATATTAGCTGTTTTCAGTTTTTCATTGTCTGTATTCCTTGTTTTAGGATATGTCAGTTTACCACAGTAAGTACTGTTACTGTTACTCTTCAATTCCATTAACTCAATAAAATTTCTTTAATTTATTATAGCATAATGCAGGACAAAGCAGAACAAGGATATTTGATATTAATGAGCGTATCGCTAATAACAGCAACTGTAAGTAGTCCTTTGAGTCCAGTGTATGTTAATTTATTGTAATATTTATTTCGATTAAATGTTTTGTGTTTTGTATGAAACATTGGAATTTATTTTCGTCGATAAGTACCTATAGATACTATTGTGTTTTTACAAGATTTTTCCACTGATATCGAATTTAAATTTATAATTCACATATCCGTAGATATCAATCTACATGATTTGATTGAAATTCGTTAATTATTTATTAGTTAATCGTCAGAAACCCATAATATTAGAACATTCAATCTATCGATTTAGATATTATAAAATCGTCAGGAATTTCTTAATAAAATTCCTTAATTAAGTAGATGTGATTAAATTAAAATTTAATAACTACGTCGATTTTGCTGCATCAATTTGAAACAAACACTTGTGTAATTAAGATATAATTATCTAGCGATCTAGTTAAAAAACCCAAAATATGCTTCAATAGAATACCCGTGGTTTTCTCGCAGTTACAAACTATCTACAAACTTGCACTGTCGATTAAAGCAAGAAAAAATGGATATTGATTACCATTTAAAAAGAGGTAAGTTGGATCATTATATTAATTAGTGTTGCGTGGAGAACATACAATACAAAAATCATTTTTAAATGCAGCTTCGTTGCTCTCCGAGCAAACAAACGATTTTCGACCCTCTTTAAGGAAAATCAGCGAGGAAAAATCGCCTCCTGATAAATTCCATTTGGCTGCGCTCTTTTCCTTTTTCAACGGTATGGCAGGAATGATACCGCTGACATTTTTCCTAACAGCCAACGATGTAAGTACCAACATATGTTATAATAAATTTTACCAGATTATTATTAATCACTTGTACGAAACTCTCCGTTATCTGTCCAAGGTTTTATAGGCGAAGATTTCCAGCTAAAACCTTGTCCGTGCTAATCTAGCGATGACCTTAAATTTACTTGTTAGTAACGTAGTTCAATAAATTGATTAATGTTATTTCTTAATTGCACAACAAAAAATAGTATCTAATATTCTAATTGACTTTTTATTTAAATTAATAGGTAGATTAAAATCTGCACTTACAAATTAGAGCATTTATGTGTCATAGACAAACTTAGACAACAAATACAAAATAGTTGAAATAATAGATGTAATAATTATTATTATTTAAATAAAAATTTTTCCATACTATTCTGCAGTACTGGATGCACAAATTAAGAGACACCCGTTACGAAAATTATGACTTGAATAACAAGACTACCCTCCAGCAAATGTTCACATCGGTGAGTACCACCGGTACCTCCGTGCCCAGCGTGGTCACCGTTATACTTTCCATGCTATACGGCGCCCAATTCGACTTGAGGAAGCGCTTCGTTTTCACTTTGGGCATCGTCAGTTCCATGTTCATCGTATTCACCATTTTAGTGGAAGTCGATACTGATTCATGTAAGTAACGAGCGATTTTTACACGGTTTTTTAGGTGTACAAGATGTGTGATGAATGTAAAATATTGGAGATACATTAGGATGTACAGGATTTTAATTATTTGAGTGCAGATACTTTAGGATGTGAGTATTTGGATGATTTTAAGAAGAATAGTTTATATCAATGTATGTCCTAAACCTCTTAGTTTTCGAGCTACAAGGTGTTACAAGTATCGGCATTCAATTAATTTACACCCTGTAGGTAGACGAGATTTGTATATTTATTATTAGCATCACTCTATAAATATTCTAATAATTGTTGTTATAATTTCAGGGCAAACAACCTTCTTCATATTAACAATCGGCGTATTGTGCATGATATCCGGTGAGTTAATGAGCAAATAAAATCGATTGGGTGCGATAATTAGTTGTTGTGTAATTTTTAGCGGTTCAGCCGCTTTTCGGGATCACCAGCATGAGTTTTCTGTCGCGATTGCCGGTCAGCTTCATGCATATAAATTTATATGGAACTACGATCGGCGGACTTTTCGGCTCCACATTGCAAATAATTAGTCTCAGCGTCGGTAAAAACTCCACGGAAATCGCCATGATATACTTCACCTGCGGAACTGTGAGTGAAATCGACTCGAATAATATGAACAATGCCATTTTGGGAATGGATTTATTTTTACAGGTGGTTATGTGTTTCACTCTAATCCTGGCGTATTTGATCAAATACTCGCCTGTTGTTACGTTTTACATGAAAACGACCCAGGACGTCCGACCGAAGAGGCACAGTTTGAAGGAGTACAAGAAGGTTATGATCGACATTTGGCCCATAATTGTCATCTTAATTTTACCTATGCTTACTATGGGACTGGGACATCCCAACATCACGAATCTCGTTACATCAGAGCATTACGATAAAAACGGCGAAAACCTGTGGTACGGTAAGTGTAACAAATCCACCAATACATATACAGGGTGTCCCAGAATACACCCGCATTCGTTTAGAATACAACAAAAGTTTCTCATTACTTCACTAAATTTATTTAACTGGATTAATTACATTTTAGACAAATATTTCGTGGCTGTGGCAACTTTCTTCATGTTTGATGTAACCCAATTGATTGGTAGATTTTTCGGAAGGGCGCACATTAATGTAGGTTAACGAAATTTTCTGAATTTTACGATGAGATTAATTCGGCATTTTCAGGAGAATAATTATTGGTGGTACATCGGCGTGACGGTAATTAAAACGGTATTTCTAACGCCTTTATATTTGTTCTGCAACGCTCTACCGAGGCACCATTTGAGCGTTTGGTTTCCGCACGATTACCAATATAACTTAATACACTTTTCGAATTGTTTATTACTTGGTATCTTGTTGACTAACAACTTTCTCAGCGTGCCGAAGTAAGTAATTTCGATTATAATGCAAATGATTATTCAATTTGTTGTTTTTTAGTTTCGCTAAAGAGAATACAGAACTGGCCTATAAGATGATAACAACATTGCTAATCATAATAGCTTCAGTTTCGAGTCTGTTAAATCCGCTGATTGTGAGGTTATTGTGATCCTAGAAAATATGTATTATAACTTGTAGGTATATTTATTTATTCGTCAGTTAGGTACATCATAAGCGTGAGTTTTTGTATTATTTAGCCAATTTAGTAATGTGTAATTTTGTGTACTGTTATCTATTATTTGTAGAGGCAAATATTTTAAAAGAAAAAAAAATAATTTTAAATGTTTAATTTTTAATTTTAAAATAAAAAAATTGAAATGTACTATTTTTTAGCATGTAATCGATATTTTATAATTTACTGATTATATAAGTTATTAATACTGATTAAATTAAAAGAATGTGTATACCTTCTTGTAGATAACAATGTTATGCATTGTGACGCTAAACTTTAATTAATACAATACCCAAAATTGATATTTCTGAAAAGTATTACAGTAAACTTAATATACTATACTTACTTAGACGCCAAAATATTGAATTTTATGTGTTTTATACGATTATTTTTCATTAGTACTCCACTATTTTATACGAATAAACAAATTACTAAATATTGATATAAATATTTGTGTACAAAAATGCATTTTTGACTATTTATTCTGATAAAAAAACAATTTTAAAAATATCCTGTAGCTCCCGACATCTATACGTAGTAAAATGAACTAACTCGATTGAACCTTACAGAAATCTATTATACATCGTATATCACCGCCATCTACATGTGCTCACTTTAATAAATATTCACTCGAGTTCCATTAATAAAGTATAGATGTCGAAACGCATTCGATTTTAACTCATTATTTTTAATTAATTGCAATCTAAGTACCTACACATTATTACTTTAATTTTTTGCGAACCCCTTAATAATTAGAATATCACAATATCGATTGACGTGATTTAACCGATTATGAAAATTACAAGTGTTTTATGATAATGAATTTATTGTAAGTACAAGTAGCAATCAAAATAATTCGACAAACGATAAATTGAAGTAGGCCCCGTATGCAAATGCAGAATTATTCGATAAATTAAATCGAAAGCAGACGGAGACAATTTGTAGTAGTTTATTTTTTGGCTAGTTAGGAAAATTCGCCTAAACATGGACGAAAAAGTTGGTAAGTATGTAAACGATATAATTTCTTTACCACATTTCTATAAACTCCTGAGAGTATAAGTGAATAAATTTTAGCTAATTTGGATAAACTGGAAGAAACCGAAGTTAAAATACCCAACAAACGATCACCACCGAAAGACAAATATTTCATAGCCGCCATACTGCTATTTTTTCTCGGTCTAGTAAACCAATTACCAACGCATTTCTTCCTCGTCGCCAGCGATGTAAGTACATGTATGTACCTCATAAGTACCACCATCAGTACCGCCCGTTTTACCACCACTCACTCCCAATTACCTCCGCAGTACTGGATGTACAAATTCCGGGACCCGAAGAACGCCACCTACGACCTGGACCACAAGACCTACTACCAGAAAATGTTCATCTCAGTCAGCCTGGCCGTTCCGGGATTCCCCTGTTTACTAGCCGCCTATCTCTCGGCGAAATTCGCCTTCCGGATCGAAGTCAGGACGAGATTTTTAATGACATTAGGCATCATCAGCTTCTTCTTCGTGGCCTTCACTCTGTGCATTAAAATCAACACCGACGCTTGTAAGTAATTCCAAGTTCATTATGTAACAGTTACCGGTAAGAATAGCGTTAAATTGTTCCTCACTACAATCTTTTATTGCAGGGCAAACTGAATTTTTCGTAGCTTCGATATTCGTTATAACAGTGATATCTTGTAAGTACCACGAAGCGTTAACATAAATGCGATGTTTATTGAATTTAATCGATTATTTTTAGTGTGTCATCCATTGTACAACGTCACGATGAACGCGTTCATGTCGAAATTCCCTTCGGGTCTGATCAAAATGACGATGTACGGCTCGGCGATGTCGGGAATAGCCAGCACGTGTTTGCAGATCTTCTCCATCTCCATCAGCCACAATTCCACCGACATAGCCATGATATATTTCTCGCTCGGCAGCGTTCTGATACTCTTCACCCTCTTCCTTTGCTACGTGATGAACCGCTCGCCCGTGGTGCAGTACTATTGGCTGGAGGACCAGGGGAAACACGTCGTGCCCAGGTTTGTGGTGCTCTAAACGGGGTCGAATGGGAATTTTTCATGTCGTATTTCAGTCATACTTTGAAGGATTTTAAGAACGTCGCCGTGCAAATTTGGCCTTTGATTCTGATTCTAGTCATAAAGATTAGTACCACAGGCATGGGTCATTCGAATATAACCAATTTGGTGGTGTCGCAAGGGTACGAGGACCACAAGGACGAATTGTGGTACAGTAAGTATACTTCTAGATACGCGATGGGAATTTATTTTTTACGCTGGGTTAAATTTGCAGGTAAATATTTTACACCGACTGTAACCTATTTGGGATACAGCATTTTTAGCTTAATCGGAAGGTTTTTTGGTCATGCGTACATAACGGTAAGATTTCATTTGTTGTATTTAATTGGTATTACAGTAATATTCCAAATGGTGTTATTTTAGAGAAAAAACTCGCATTGGTTCATTATTTTGACCAGTGTAAGAGCCTTCGTATTGGGACCGATGTTTTTGTTCTGCAATGCCCAGCCCAGGCACCATTTGCCCGTTATTTTCAAATACGATTTCGAATACATGATACTACTCTATGTGTACGGCTGGTCGGAATCCTTCATTATGACAACGCATATACTCAGCACACCCACGTAAGAATTTATTCTAATTATTTGTTTATTTTTATACTAACAATTATAATTGTAGCATGTCTGGAGATCAATCAGAAGTAGCTTTCGTTTTGATTCAAGTCGTTTCAAACACCATGAGCACCATAGCTAGTTTCGTGGATCCTTTCTATGTGAAACTGCTTTAATAAAGTGTAAAATCAGATAATTAGTGCATTCGGGGTATCGGAATTTTGCACCAAAATTGGGGTACTTTACTCTTGAGAATAGAGTTGTAGGCAATTCCTGCATGGAAAAATACAGGCAAATTTGGTGTTGAGTTCCGGTGCAGTGTATTTTCTTGTAGCGCCACTGCACCCAAAATGGTTCCTCGACAATCGCCAATCAGGTGTGTCCGTTTTAAGGACACGACAGTGTTTCGTGCTTCGTGTTCGATTCCTTATCATCCTCTCCACATCGACGAGCGGTTCCCACCCAATAACCGGCCGGATCTCGCTCGGATTTAGCGCCCCGTTTCCGAGATAAATCGCGCAAATTCCTCATCTCCGCGGTCGCCTTTCATTTCTTCTCGGCTCGATCGGATATCGCATATATTTCTGGAGCACCGGCCGCAAACGGGGCGCCGAACGCGCGGTGCGGTACCCGCGGTACCCGACGTTTTAGTGCCGCGGCGATATGGATGTGGTACCTCCTCGGCGGTAATTAGTTGCCGTATAAGGCGGCTCAAAGGTGCCGCCGCGCGAGCCGGGCCCCTCCGCCTCCCTCTGCTCGGGACGGTACCACAATATATACTCGCATGTACCGAACCGACACCCCTCTTGGGTACTTTATCGACGTCTGTCCGGCTGATATACAGGGTGTTGATCGTTTCTGCTCTAATGATATTGGAGGTTTATTAGCGAAATTGGTGGTACCAACACTATTTGGTACCCGAGTTGGTGCTAACTATAACATTTAAATGACTTCTAAAAAAGTTTTAGAAGGCATAATTTAACGGTTTATCGTCTACCAGGAAGCAAAAGGAAAAAAGTCTTTATTTGCTTTTAAAATGAATAATAAAATTTGGTAAGAAAGAAAATTCACATAAAAGCGTTTTTTCTATTACAAAAAATTATAGAAAAACATCTTCTATATAGATATTACATAATTACATTATCAATATTAGGTACTTACGTATTTTCTTACAAAGTAATTTTTTCATGCACAATGTGCATATATGCTCTCATGTACCGGTAATTACATAATGAAAAACGTATATGTATCATAAATAAAAGTTTAAAATACACTATAAAATTAACTATAATAAGACGTTTATAAGATTGAAATTATGCACAATTCAAATGCAATAATTAAGTGTTAAATAATTAACCTCTTTTTGAATAATTAATTCATAAATTACTTTGTACAAGAATTTATGGCCTGTAATTATCTATCGCAGCCAATAATTTCCTAAATGTCATCGGGCTATGGGTATATACGAGTACGTATAGGATAGCATTTTTTTGTATAAAACGAGAAATATCTAGGCAATTAGAAAATTGATTTAATAATGGGTTACGTCTACATTAGATGGATAAATTATTTAAAGAAAAAACTCTAAATTAAAAGGAATAAATGAGGAAATGTGCGCAGAAATAAAAAGTTAAAAGTATATACGAGGGGTAATCGCAAAATGATTCATAAATATTTAAATGTTTATTCCATCAAAAACGTTATTATTGACTTTGCTACTTTTATAGAAGCCGCTCGACCATCGAACACAGTCAAACACGGAGGCCCTTTGTACCACAAAAAAAAACATTTATTCCTCTATTGATATCCTCACAGACACCGGCCCTAAAAATTTGAATATAGTCGACGTTTTATTGGTGTGTTAATTGAACGTAGAGTTACCAACATGTGCTCTTAAATTTACGAGGGTACCACAAAAAATATCCCCTTCCAGCCCAATCCGATAGCAAAATTCGATTCCAACACCTGCGATAGCTATTTTTTCCCGACCTCCGCCTATGTTAAACCCCTACTAGTTAGTACACCATATAATTAGCCTCTCTCGCTCTTTGTATATCTTCCTTATGCTCGGCTCTCTATCTCCTAATTTAATTTATATGGTGCTGTCTTTGTTCGATGCGCCGAGTGGGCGATTTCTTTGGCCTTAATGGAACACCCAGATCGAGGTGTCGGTCTCTTTGATATAACTGACGATGACCGTCCTCGATTCCGGCGTATACAGAGTGTTTTTGATAGCGTAACGACGTTCGGATGCCCGGCTAACTACATGCGCTATCTCAATCTCTCGCGCCGCGGGTTAACTACTCTTTTTTTTTATCGCGTTTGCCTCATTGCGGCGCAAGAACAAATCGCTGGGTAATAGGGTCGGATTTTTCCCCTATGGTCTATTCGGTTTTTTTTTGTAATGTGCAAGGGGATAAAGTTAAATTTAATTTATTAGCGAGTTCGAGTTTAGAGAGACATAATTTAGGCGTTAAGTACTAGTTTTGGGTAGCCGACAAGAAGATTTCGGCGACTTAGCCGGTTAATTTATGCTCCGATTTAATTATTTTAACGTCGAGGAATGCGGAATTATGAGCTGGTAAAATATCATAAAAATCGTGGCCAAAATTTAAATAGTATCATATATTTTTGTTATACATGTAGTGCCCATTTTTATTCGAAATTATAACAATAAAAATCAGACGATTGATTAATCAGTACTCGAGAGTATATGTGAATGGAAATTTAAAGTACAAAAGTTCATTAAAACTACTTGATTGGTGTATCTATACACGATTAATTATTAGTAATAAATCGAATACAGAGCGGCTCAAAAAAGCATGCGAGGTTATAAAAAGTACTAGAGTGGATGTACCTGTGTTAAACCATTTAAATCGACCAATAAATGTTTTTCTCTTCAAGTATACAAGGGTAATAAAAGTGGCGAAAAATTTAAAAATTCTCAATTTTCACAAACAAGTTTGAAATGGGCTATACTACTGCTACCTGATGGTTTATTACACAGGTATTACTTATTGTATACTTCTCTTTATGACGGTACCACCCTGTATATACCGATTGAGGTGTATAGATTGCATTTAGTAGATCAAACTACGTGTAATCATTAAAAAGAAATTAAAAAAAAAAACCATCGCACAATAAGCACAGTATACGCTAAAAGGGCGTTAAAAGGCATTCCCGAGATGACTGGATTTTAGTGAGTCCCTTGTAATTTCCTCGCCGAAAAAGGTCCGCACAAAAGCATTGATCATCAAGTATAGAATCTCTACCTAGCTCTATTGCAGCAAAATATACTCGTACGAATGTTTATTTTGGTCGGCGTTCCTCCCGAAATCACTTGGTAAAGGTTACACTTTGAGAAGAAAAAAAAAATGGTTATACCTACCGGTAGCCCGTTTACCGAGAATGGGTGTCCTCGAGAGCGCTTATTAACAACGCAAATTTACACGAGACCGTCGGCGCGTTTGTAGTTGTTTGGTCAACTTTAAAACTTTAAGTAATTACGTCAATTGACACCGGAATTATCGGGCATTCGGTAAACTGAGAAGGCAAATAAACGCCTTTTTACAGTCTTAACAAGAATACACCTATATGCAAGCTTTGTATACAGGGTGTTATTTTAATAATATGCTAATACTGAAGGAGGTGATTCTTGGACCCATTTTAGGAAAATAACTTTATATGAATATAGGTCCTAAATCTAAAATTTATTATTACCTAATTTCTATGTAATTTCTATATCCTAATTATATTCAATTTAATTTTTTGATGCAAAACGGTGAGTCGTACGAAAAAATGTCAAGAAATCAAATTTGTTTTAAATTGAACGGGGCTCCCAAAAATAATTTTTATTTCAAAAGAAAGCAGTGGCGTACCTCTTTTATCCTAAAAAATATTTGGCCTTAGTCCAGTACAAACGCCGCTGTTGGAAATAACAATTGTTTTTAGGTCAAATAATGCTCTTTAATGCATAAACGCCGTACACCAAGTTTCATAAAAATATTTAAAGTGGTATGGAATTGACAGTTAAAAATTGGTTTTTTTTCTTTAATCTTTAACACCCTATATCTCAAAAGTTAAGACGTTTAGGACATAGATTCATATAAAGTTTTTCATTAAAATGAACCCAAGAAACACCACCTTCAGTATTAGCATGTTATTAAAAAACACCCTGTATACAGTGTGTCCCCGAATGGAGTTGATGACGAGAGAAAAACAGTCAATCGTTATATAAAAAGCCTAAAAAACAAGTTTGCCTAAATTCCCTTTCTAAATTTCACTTCCGTTTTCATTGGTACTTCCCTTAATTATCCATTCCCTGGTATATCGGCGAATTTCAAAAGCTCGCTAATTAAGCGAGAGTGATCTTCGATTTTGGACGGTGAGTTTCAAAGAAGGGAAAATCAACATGCGTGTTACTACAAGGCAAATACACCTGTTGCTCGGTATAATTTAATTACCGATTTCATTTTACCCCGAAATATGTCCTAATTAATTCACCGAGGACTCTTCAGAAACGTGGACGGATGAGTGTAAAAACGAATTCCGACGAAATTACAAAATTAGTAACGTGTAAAAACACCATAAAGTTTCCAGTTTCGATTCTATTTTTTTTTGCTTACATACACAGTGGATCAAATAAATCCTGCACCAATCATTCCAGTAAGAACCCTCTTAACTTTAGTATACATTTATAATTAACATACTTGATCGATTCTCTATGGAATAATCGATTGAAAAAAGCGCAATACTCGATCGATTTTCCGGTGAAACAACGGGAATGTTATGGAATTGTTTGGTCCGCTAGGTACATGGGAGTTATATGGGTGGCGGGCCCGATGTACCAAAAAAAAATCCGTTTCCCCAATTTAGACTGGAATTTGTTTACGATGTGACAATTAGATTAACCCGGTGGAATAATGGCCTCAAAGGCGCCGACAAAGAACCACCGAAGTCGCATTCGGGCTTAACAAGGATTCCATTTCTCTGTCGCTTTTATTAGAACGCTCTGTAAGGATCGATTTTTAAATAATTTAATACCTGATAAAACGCGAAATGTATAGGTAGATAAACGCTTTTAAAAATCCATATTTCTATAGATGAATATTGAATTAACAATGCGGTTTTAATAATTTATTTTATCGAAATCATACGCTATATTAAGATCGATCGATGCATCAACTAACAGGCGATTTCTCGGAATAAAAAGCGCCAATTATATACCTAATTGCATGGTGATTTTGTGCAGAAAATAAACCAATCATTATAGTGGAAAATACATAGAACTTTCGCGCTACACCCTTTATGCATTCCTAGAAAATTCTAAAATGCGGAATTATTGGAAGAAATAAT